GGCCAGCCCTGTTCCTCCCGCGGACCCGACAAAGAACGGAAATTCAAAAGGTGCGTTGTCCAGACCGTAAATGAGCGGTGGGGGAGTGCCCCATGGCAGGGGATGGGGAGGAGGAGGGAGGATGCCTCTTGTACGCTCACTATTATTTTGCTACCTTTTGCATTTTTGTGGTCTGCAGATGCGGTGCTGTCGAGCTTGGAGCAGGCGTCCGCTCCCGTGGCTTCATCTCCGGCGACTGTCCCCTCCCGGTCCACAAATTGTCAGTAGGGAGGGCGGGAGGGAGGGAGAGAGGGAGCGAAGGGGGAAAGAGCGGGGGAGGGCAGCGAGGTGGATTATTAGGTGACGTCTTTTGATACTGAGAAAAGGATACTGCGTTGTGAGGGTAATGTGATGGTGCGGTAGAGAGGGTGAGGGGGAAATCGAGGGAAACGTGAGCGGGTGCAGGTTATGTTTGGAGGAGACGATGGCGATGGCTCATGGATGGGTGGACAGTGAGGGTATGATATGACAAGGCTGGTCGTCGTCGATCATGAGGAGGAGGATGAATAGTGGTCGTGAGTGGGACGCGGAGGGTCATTTGCTAAGCCTCTTGTATTTATGGCATCGAGTCCTACTCTAAAAGCGATGAATGTACCAATCCACTCACATCGATTTCCATTCCCCTACCGCAGTACGAGGAGGGCAGTAGCAAAGTATCCGATGCTGTAGCCCTCTGGCATGAGATAGGTAACCCTCGCGGGGCGCGGCTGTATGGGTGCAATCCGCGCGACCCGGGTGGGTTGGATGGGCCATTGATTTGAGCCAGCATGGGGGCATGGGGTGAAAAGTGAGGCGTTGTTTGATTTTACCAGCCCGCGGTGTACAGAGTGTTGATGCCTCACAGGACGTTCTTCAGGATGAGGAGAAAACAAGGTCGTTGTGGGTCTGAGGGTTAGGTTCACATGTCTGAATTATGAACAAAACTATCTACGACTATAGCACATCCGTGTGAGACTGCATGTTTTGTTGTTTGGAGTTCACGGGCAAGTCATGATGCCGAACTTCTATCCCTTATGTGAATCGAAGCTACGAATGGGAGGGAAGGAGGAGCAGATAAGGGAATAGGAAAGAGTGCGTGGGGTCGATGCATTTATTTGTTGAACGCGCGGCCACCTCAGCACGCAATATTGAAAGAACGACGTAAATTGATTGCAGACTTTTCGCTTCAGTTGCTTCTTCGAAGCGGTGGCCGTGGGATGTATTCTACAGGTCGTACGTCTCTTATTTCTAAACCAGCACAGAGATGTGTGCTTTCTTTTTGGATATACCCCCCTGACTTTTTGAATAATCATTTGAAGAATTTTTCGGGTCCTGTCTATCATTGACTTGGAGGGTCCTATTTGTCGTGTCGCCTATAAAATTGTACTGTGGTATCTATCCTTCACGTCTTTCACAGTCTTGCCCTACAACTCCATAATCAGACTCGGAGAGCCCCAAAGGAATAGATTGCAGGGGGGGAGGTTATCGTATCTTCAACTACCCCCCCCCGACACTATCTTCTGATTTTCTATTTTTTGCGCATGCAATCACGAAAATAATCCTTGGAAACTATGTACAAGTATCTTTTTGTTTGAGATACTCATACTCAAGCTTTTTATTCCCCTTCGTGGAATGGAAATGTCGGGAAAACCCAGTAATTTTTGCTCCATCCCGGGGCTATATCCTAATCATCAGCTCTTCCTTCTAATATGCCCTTCCATGTGCCCCTTGCACCTATCATCACCCCGTTGTCAGAGCCTATATATTTTCAAACTTAAGCATGCGCGTCCTTTTTCCTCTCGCCATTCTTGCTGCGTCGGCGTCGTCTTTCACCTCAGCCGTCCCTCGCGCCCCGCTTCACTTCATGACTGAGGAAGCATCATCATCATCATCATCCGTGGCTATTCCCCCTTTTGAAACCCATTTCCTCTCTACTGAAGTCGATATTCAAAGTAAATCTGCGGAAATAGCGCCTCAAGTGCCACAAGTTGACCCAATGCTGTCGTCCAAGGACCATAAATTGCGTGGCTCGTCGTCTGAAAATGGTATGGGCGTGGATAGTACGACACTCAGGGAGCTTGATTCCACTGTCAGACCCTTTTTCTTGCCCAAATTTATCCTCACCCGCTTGTAAAGCTCTTTAAAATTCCCAATCTCCCCATTCGATCCTTTCTTTCGTCCTCCCTCCTTCTCTACCCCCCCCTTCCTCCCTCCCTTCCTCCCTCTCTTCCTCCCTTCCTCCCTCTCTTCCTCCCTTTTCTCTACCCGGGACATCATCTTTCTCTGCTCCTTCTCTA